AATTGATTATATTTATTAAGCAGTTAAATATTATAATGAATGAGATTAATTAGATATCGATATTACTGGCTAGTTTTTGTTACTATTTTCGGCACTACCAACTGTTATATAATATAGAAAATATTAAATTTCCTGCAAATTTTTGTCCAAAATAATAAAATCATATATACTTATAGCACTATATAAGTTAAAAATAAAAATTTATTGATATTTTAAAGTTAGCTTTTCCAGGCTTTTCTTAAACCGATATTGTATATACAGATTGTAATTCCCTCTCTGGCAAAAATTAACAACTCTTTTTTATTAAATTTTTTTATAGTTTGATATAATATGTCCAGACCTATGTTAATACAGCTAGACAATACTAACGATATTTCTAACAAATACACATATAGTATACGTGTGTCAACTCTATAGTTAGTAGAAGACATTAGCAAATGCATCCTATAAGAATGCTATACTCATAGTCTTGAATTAGATATTAGCAGATGCATATTGTAAGAACATCATACAAATAATTTAAGTGCTGCCGAGGGAAAATAAGACTTTCAAGAGTTTCATCTGATGTATTATCTAATTGAAATCCCGAAATCATATTTTCCCTTGGTAGCACTCATATAATGGGTTTCAAAATTAAAAAATTAACAAATAAGTGCTGTATTTCAAAAAGAGGTAGGATTTTTTCAATAGCATTTTTATTATGTTGAATTATAATTTGGAAAAATAAAATAAGCCTGATTTTATTTAAACATGATGTAAATGATCTAAATAAATACAAGAAAATAAATATATCAAACATTAAAAATATCAAAAATAAAGTGTCAAAAAATAAAAGTTTTGATTTACCCTGGTGCTTGTTCGTAAATATGAAGTACTTTAATATATATTCATATTTGTATCTATTGACAGTATTGGGTGATGTTCTGCAAAACCGGATCCACTTGGATCCAGTTTTGCAGAACACTAGTACTGGGTGGGTTAGTAGGCAATTCTAAACAAGCAAAGAATTAGTAGTGCCTAGGGTCTCAATCAGCAGGTGGTTTAGATTTTGTTAACAGATAAGTTGGATCTTGAAATTAGAGTAAGTTTGTTGTTAATTAATGGGTTGGGTGGTTAGTTCTTAACTAATGGAAAGAAGGGTTGGGTAATTAGCAAGAGGGTTAGTTGGGCAATTAGCAAGAGGGTTAGTTAGGTAAATAGCAAGAGAGTTAGTTGAGTAATTAGTGGAAGGGTTGGTTGGGTAATTAGTGAAAGAGTTAGTTGGGTAATTAGCGGAAGGGTTGGTTGGGTAATTAGTGAAAAGTGTAATTAGTATATAGGTTCGTTGAATAATTAAAGTTTGAAATTACAACGAATTTAATTAAATCGCGTCATTTTTACCCATGGATTATAAAAAATCTGCACATTTACAAACTGGGATTTTTATTAATTAAAATGCGTTATATTTACTTAATAATTGTAGATCATTTTCTCCAGTTGACTCGCAGATCATTAATTAATCAAGCTCATAAATATTTACATTCTAATTTTCTTTCATTCATATTGATTTTATTCAAATTAATTTAGATAATATAAAAAATGTTATTAATTGAAGTGTTTTAAAATAAGCTACTCAAATTCATGAAGATTTGCCCTTGCAAAATACCAGAATAGCTTGACATTATCACTAGGTATATATAAGAATATTTACTTATCAATGGGTCCGTATTGTTTCACCGACATAGACACCATATTTTACTGACGATTATTTATCGACAAGTTCATTTTACTGACAGTCTATTTTACCGAAGCTCATTTCACCAACAAGTTTTTTTTTGTAAATTACACTAACTTTAACTCTAATTCTAACCTAACCCTAATGATATTGGCCAGAATCACTTTGTCTGTAAAATAAGCTTCGGTGAAATAAACTGTTAGTGAAATAAACTTGTTGGTAAGTAATTGTGAAATGTGGTGTTTGCGAAGTGATTGTTGATGAGCTAATTGAAACCCAACAAAAATTAGAAAAACACGTATAGAAATGCTCATAATAATAGAAAATATAAGTACTTTATACAATAATTAACTTTTTTTTTTCTTAGTATATACATTGAAAATGAATATTAATATATGAATATTAATATGATACTAATGTGATAGGTGGGGGTTCTGATCAACTCATCAACAATCACTTTGGAGATACCCATTTTACTGACAATTACTTATCGACAAATTTATTTCACCAACAGTTTATTTCACTGAAGCTCATTTTACAGACAAAGTGATTCTGGCCAATATCATTAGGGTTAGGTTAGAATTAGAGTTAAAGCTAGTGTAATTTACAAAAAAAAACTTGTCAGTAAAATGAGCTTCGGTGAAATAGACTGTCGGTAAAATGAACTTGTCGATGAAATAATTGTCGGTGAAATATGGTGTCTATGAAGTGATTGTCAGTAAAACAATACTATTAATTAAAATTAAAATTCGTGAAAGTCTGCCATTGCAAGATACCTGACTAATTTTATTCACATTAATTAGTAGATAAGTATAAAATATTTACTATTATGAATGTCTCACTAATTTTATTATTCACATTAATTTATTGGTATAAAGAACGTTTATTAATAAATAGGTTACTCAAAAATTATATGAAAAATTACCATTTAAATACCTGATTAATTTTATTCGTGTTAATTATTATTTAACGATATTCAATTTTGATGATTTGTTTATTTTATGCAGTGTAATCTTACTTACTATTTATGCTTATGTGGTGTAATTTTTTTTTCTATTTATCGTATTTTGTGCTGCCTTTGTGCATATGATCGGCATCTAAAATTTTCTATTAATCTATAAAAGGAAATTCTTTCACCCACCATTTTTATATACATCTATATATCTATATCTATATATATATAATATAAATCGATATCGATATAGATACAAGAAAATTATTTTTTTGAAAAAAAAAAAAAAGATATTTTATCAGATAAAAACAACTTAATTTTATTAAAAAAGCTTCTTTTTTGCGCTTGTATATATATTTTACTTTATGTTTAAGTTTCTACTTTTCGATAATTTTTTTGTTTTGTTTTTTTTTCTTCTGATTTTTTGCCGGTATGATGAATTGATAATTAGTGATCGTCAAAAAACATAACGAAAGATTGTAATGAAAGAATTTATTTTTTTTTTTTCATTGGTTCGATCATAATATAACATGTAAATTTTTTTTTTTTGCATAAAATATAAAAAAAAAGTATATTTTGTATTATATATTCGCTACTATAGTGTCATCTAAAACTGTTGTTTTTGTTACTTGCTGAAAAAAAATAAATAAATAAATAAATATTTCTAAAAAATATATATAAGGCCATACAAATTTGATTACTTGGTTTTCATAACATGAAACTTTTAAATAAACCCGGTCGGCCGGCTTTTTTTTTTAAATTTCATATATAAAATTTTACAAAATTTATATTAATTTTTTTTTTAAAACCCACCCGGTTATTAAAACATATAAAAATTTTTTTTTTGAAATTTTCAAATTTTGACCTGGCCGGGTTATAAAAATCATTTAATTAATTTTGCATGGCCTAATTGGTTAATTCTATTATATTTTATAGCTTATATATGGTATATATGCTAAGCCCTAACATGCGCCTATTTTAACTCTGCTAAGCACATTAAAGCTGCATGTCATTTTCCCTACAAATTATTTATCCAACATTGCATTAGCATTTGATTAGTCACGAATATCTATTGCCATCTGTATGAAATCAGGTTGTAAAAAAATGATTACTAGGAACTATATTAAAGTATTTATTTATTTTTTTTCATTTTAAATAAATAAAAAAAAAATCAACATCAATAAAATTTTCCTTGCCACTATTTTTTTTTTTTAAGCATACAAAAAAAAAATGCACGGCACTATTACTGTACTTTGTTATGTAACTGACCACTGATTACATTCTGGTAAAACTATGAATATTGTTGATGCTTCAGGTTTCATAAACTCCCGAAGCTTAAATGCGCCTATGAAACTTTTTTTAAAAAGCTTTTATCTTATCAATACAACTCAAGAATTTAGCATTCCATTATTTGAAAAAGAAAATATAATTTTAGCTACTGGAAAATTTAGAATAGTTGAATATATAAATGAAAAGAATGAAAAACTTTCTGCTTTAAAAGTAAGTTTAGATTTTATAATTATAAAAAATAATTGTGTTATTGCTATGTCCTAATAATTGCAACAACATTTATGCTTTTAATGGTTATTCTATTTTATTTATTATGGCAATAATATACTAAAATGTATTACTCATAATTTGACTGTTTATTATATATACTCATTAATTAGAATAAGCTTTATTTAGATACTTCTTTATAATAATATGCTATATAATGTATAAATAATGAAATTTATTCTAATAAACTTTTATTTTTTTTACTAATATATGTATAGATTATTTTGAGTAACATTGTGCATCTTGGTATTGAACCAGATGATCTTCCGAAGTTTTCTGCTTTGGTTAATATGATTGCAATAGTAAAAGAACCTCCACTTATCAATGATGATGATGGATTTATGACAGTTGTAATGAGCAACTATATAGATCAAGACCAAAGTGAAACTAAAATAAAATGTTACTACTTAGCAACTGCACCTCATTTGACTCGCTTAACTCCAGCTATAAAAAAAAATTCAATTCTTTATATTAATGGTGAATTTGTTTTGCACAACAATAGGAATTATGTACATGTTAAAACTATGTCCTTTATTGATCATCACAAAACATTAATGAGTGCAGATAGTTCTTTTAAAATTCCATAAGAAACTGAAGATTCTGATAGTTCAAGTAAAGCTATTAGCTTTGCTGAAAAAATTGCAGCAAAATTTGATAATAAACATGTCACAAAAAACAAATCACTAGTCATTAACTTACCTGTAACTAAATCTCCTTCAAAGACTGAACCTTATACACAAATCAATACAAATAAGAAATCACCAGTAACTAAATCTTTTAAAACTAAACCTTCTTCAACACCTAAACTATATACACAAACTAGAAGCAAACACAAATTGACAGACTTGGCAAAGAACATGTTAAATAACTCAAATGAAACAAATTAAACTTCTTCTACTTCTCTTGATGATCAATCTGAATAAGTATGTAATTATATTATATTAATATTTCAATTTCTATATTTATATTGTAAATTTTATTAACATATCTTAAACATTTTTTTTATATTATTCTCAGAATAATAAACTTTTTTTATATATTTTATTATGTACTGTTTATTGAATAAAAAAACTTTATTATTTATTATTTTTAACTTTAAACATTTACAAACAACCTTAATTATAATTTTTTTACAATTTAACTTTTTTTCTCTTGTAAATTATTGTAACCATTAATTAGAAGATCAATTGCGGCTATTAATCCAATTTAGCTTCGAAGGTTACTCTAATTTAGTATTTATAACTTTTAATACATATAATTAATATAGTAAACTCTTAAGTTAAGACAAAGTTATCACTTAATAAATCAAACTTAATTAACAAAGTAGCTTTATTATATGCAATAAAAATTAAAAAGAAATACAACAATAATAAAGAAATATATGCCAATAAAAGGATAAACTAAACTAATAACTAATAAATAAACTTAATTACAATACAAGAAAAGAGAAAAAGAAGTCTAATTTTTATTATAAACTATAAATCTGTCGAAATGGTAAATGCTATTGCAATAAATAACCTTAAATATTGCTATCAACATGGAATAGAAGTTGAAAAGAATGAACAAAAAGCATTTATTTATTATCAAAAATCTGTTGAAATGGTAAATGCTACGCAATAAATAATCTTATATATTGTTATGAAATGGAATAGAAGTTGAAAAAGATAAACAAAAAGCATTTATTAATTATTAAAATCTGCTGAAATGCGAAATGCTAATAGAATATATGAACTTGCAAACTACTATTTTTATGGAAGAGGAATTGAAAAAAATGAATATATGGCATTCATTCATTATCAAAAATCTGCTGAAAAGAAAATTTCACTGCAATAATTATCTTGAATATTGCTATCTATATGGGATAGGGGTTAAAAAAGATAAACAAAAAATATTTGTTAATTATTAAAAATCGGCTGAGATGGAAAAAGCTTCTACAATATATAATTTCACAAGTTGTTATGAAAATGAATAGAAGTTGAAATTGATAAATATAAACTATTTATTTATCGTTATTATCAAAAATCTGCTGAAATGGAAAATGCTATTGCAGTAAATCAATTGAGTATTGCTATGAACATGGAATAGGAGTTGAAAAAGATAAACAAAAAGCATTTGTTAATTATCAAAAATTTGCTATTTTTTATAGAAGAGAAATTGAAAAGGATGAACATAGAGCATTTATTCATTATCAAAAATCTACCAAAAAGGGAAATGACACTGCAATAAATGACCTTGGATATTGCTATCTACATGGAATAGAAGTTACAAAAGATAAACAAAGGTATTCGTTAATTATCAAAAATCTGCTGAGATAAAAAAACTTCTGCGATATATAATTTCACAAGTTATTATGAAAATGAAATAGAGGTTGAAATTGATAAAATAAACCATTCATTTATTATCAAAAATCTGCTATGATAAGAAATGCTACTGCAATAAATCAATTGGATATTGCTATAAACATGAAATAGGATTTAAAAAATATGAACAAAAGGCATTCGTTAATTATCAAACATCTGCTAAAATAGGAAATACTAACAGAATATATGAACTTGCAAACTGCTATTTTTATGGAAGAGAAATTGAAAAGGATAAATATAGAGTATTCATTTATTATTAAAAATCTGCTAAAAAGAAAAATGCCACTGCAATAAATGACTTTGAATATTGCTATCTACATGAATAGGGGTTAAAAAAGATGAACAAAAGACATTCATTAATTATCAAAAATCTGCTGAAATGGAAAAAGCCTCTGTGATATATAATTTTGCAAATTTAGAATAGGAGTTGAAATTGCAAACTGCTATTTTATAGAAGAGGAATTTAAAAAGATGAACATAAAATATTCATTCATTATCAAAACTCTGCCGAAAAGGGAAATCTCATTGCAATAAATGACCTTGGATATTGCTATCTACATAGAATAGGTGTTAAAAAAAATAAACAAAAGGCATTTGTTAATTATCAGAAATCTGCTGAGATTTCTGCGATATATAATTTCGTAAGTTGTTATGAAAATGGAATAGAGATTGAAATTGATAAACATAAGTCATTTACTTATTATCAAAAATCTGCCAAAATAGAAAATGCTACTACAATAAATCAATTGGATATTTCTATATACATTGAATAGGAGTTGAAAAAGATAAACAAAAGACATTTATTAATTATCAAAAATCTCCTAAGAAGGGAAATACTTTTACAATATATAATCTCGCAAAATGAAATAGAGGTTGAAAACAATAAACATCAGATATTCATTAATTAACAAAAATCTGCTGAATTGGGAGATGCTCAAGCAATTAATAACGTCAAACTTTGCTATATGGATGGAATTGGGATTATAAAAGTTAATTATAAATTATTTCTTCATTACAAAAAATCTAAGAGAATGAGATTTACTATCGGAATGTCTTTCTTTGGTAATTGTTATAGTAATGAGATTGGAGTTTTAAGACATTACAAAAAACTAAACATTGATATTAAATGTAAATTAAAAGTTTTCCAAATTATATTCCAAGACTTGTAATCTAAAACACATAGTCTTTTGAAACATTATCTGAAGAAACATAACTAAGACAAAAAATCACTTTAAATATCTTTAATTTATTAAAACTATTGTGCTATCTTTACTCTCAACTTTAAGCTTTTGGTACTAACAACACTATAAAACAGTATTATTAGTAGGTCATAAACAATTTCTAACAATCTTAGTTTGCAATTGTTTATATCAATAATCAAAACTAGAGATAGAAAAAAATAGGTTAAAAAGTTTTTTAGATACATTAAACCTTTTTAAAAAACTTTTTAAACCATTGGTGCTAAAACTAAAATTTAAAATTTAGTCCTAAAATGCTGATTCACCAAATTTTATATAAATACTTTTTTAAAAAAATATATTTACTTTATAAACTTTCTAATTACAAGAAATGTGCAATCGTTTATCTATATATATATTTATTATTATTATTATTTTGTAAACTTCTTTTACTTTAATGCATAACTATAAATTTAATTATCATCTTCGAACCAATCATTAATTTCAATTTTAAATTCTGATAGACTATAAAAAGTCTTTTACCCGTTCATTATTTAATAAATCTTTTATACTTTCTAAAGCTTTTTTATTTATTTAGACTTTTAATACTATCAATTTATATTCGATTCATGGTTTTAAATTTTAATCTGTAATACTAACTTTAACTTTTATATAATTTGCTTTTTAAAATTAATATATATATTTATTGTATTAATTATTATGTCATTTTATGTATACCAAATTTTTGACATAGAATCCCTAGAGTATATATCAGATGAACAAATTATTGATCTAAATGATATTGCTACGCATTATACAGAACAAATAAACTCAACACTTTTTCAATGGTCTTTATCAATAGAATAACAAAATATAATAGATGAATTTGACCAAAATATTTTAACTCAATTCCCATACATCTCCTGTTCTTTTTGTTCTAGATTAATGTACCCAGCGAAATCCTAGTACTACATACCCTATAACTATTGCTTATCCTAATACCCTATTAATAACAAATCCTAAGTCACCTCCTAATCGTATTGCAGTATGTACATCATGCAAAACAAATCCAACTTGTAATTATCTACCATATCTTTGTCAAATTCCACCTGAGATTAATTCTGTACTATTAGAAAAATGCAGATATTTATTACCTGTCTTTCTTCATTGTTCTTTGGGACATACACCTGGTGCCAATCCCTTTTCTGAATATAGAGCATTAGTTGGAACCTTTAATTACTCCCAAAATCTTCATTCATTTAGCCTTTATTCAGGAATATTAGGCGTTTACCTATCTACACCAACATTTGATCGTTCTATACTTCCTTCTTGGTTTGATAACTCTATATCAAATACTATTAATTGGCTTAAAGAAAACAACCCTTATTTACCCAATTAATTCCAACTACTACTAATCAATTTCTTTCTGCTACTCATTTATCTGTTGATGAAATACTCCTTCAATTCAACATAGAGATATAGTAATTCCTCATCAAAATTTTCCAGCTAAAATTCATAATGAAAATGCTTATTATAGTCATTTAATAGCTGGATTTATATCAAATACTGATATAAATAGAATTCTAATTGCTCTTAATGATCCTAATCTTGAACCTTTACTTTTTCCAGACTTATACCCAGATGGTCATGGCACTATTATGAAATAAGAAACAATTTAGTAAATATACAATGATGGCATGGAAAATATATTAAACATCATTTACTTTCTAAAGATTATTAATTTCGACTATATCACTTCTGGCCAGCATGGGCATATCTTCAATTAGAAAAATATAGAAATTTTCAAAATACACAGCGATTAGTTTGTCAATCTACAACTGATGAAACTCATCGACCACAAACTGCAATTGAAATTATTGAAAGAAGTATATATACTAATAGATAGTGCTATAGTGAAACAAAAACTACACCTATTCCTACATTTATTCGCACCGGAGATGGATACTTTCAAAAAAAAAAATATACATCTAAATACAATGATTCATGAACTTAATTTCCCAACTATATTTATTACCTTATCAATAGCTAAAGGATCATGGACTCATCTTCATAATATACTTATCAATACAGATAACAATAATCCATTACCAACTAATAGACCATTATATACAATGCTTCACTTTGTTCACAAATTGCAAAATTTTAAAAAACATCTTTAGAAAAATTCAAAAGTTAGTGAATGGAATTCTTATACCCATTTCTTTAATTAAATAGAATTTCAAAATCATGGAACAGCTCATTTACATGGAGTTTATTGGACAACCTCAAATATAGAAGAAATGATTAGCTCAAATACCATTCGATTAACTCTTCCAAACCCTAATTTAG